TGATTGGCTGTCTTGTAGGATTCTAGCAATGCAAATTATAATCTCCTAACTTGAGATATTATATAAGATAAAAACTGGAAGCCTAAAAGCCTGGCTGGGGAGGAGGGGAGGAGGATTGACGGAACCAGCCACGCCACCCAGCAAGGGGTTGGGGGGGGAATGGGGTCGGTGATAAGTTTGAGGTGAAGGTCTCTGTGTGTTTATTTAACAGTCCTACTAAGCTTCTCTCATTTTAAAATGCCAGTGAAATACCAGGAGAATATAATTAACATAGCTGGGATCCTTGTAAGATACTGATTTATTTGAATATAAACATGTTGTAATTAGCACTAGACATAACAATTTAAGTACTGTAATCAAATTAGAACATGTGCAGTCCAGCTTTGCACTAATTTATTTCACGTTTATTTTAGTATGGTGTGTGAATGTAAATGGGTGAAACTAAATGAAGAAATTTATGTAAATTCACCGAAAATAAAAGTTGAAAAACTTTTTATAAAATGTACTACAGTATTGTACACTAATGTACTACTATTTTTTAATCTTGAGCAAATATATGACGTTATATTCAAATTAATCTTGTCTGCACATCTCAGCAATGCAATTTATATTATCGTAACTTCTTTAGTCTGAGATATTACAGTACAGTTAACCCTGATTTACTCGTCCCGCATTCCACCACGCTGTGCCTTGCCAGGGACCTAAAGTCACATTGGCGGCACGTGGAACCCCTATTACGCGAGATGTCCGCATGTATTTTAGATTTGCCTCACCCGCCCACTCCGCAGCCTGCTCAAAGCTCCGGCCCTTCCTCTCCCTCCGCTTAGAAAGCCGACGGTATATGAGTGTGTCTTTGTTACAAGATTACTGACGCTATGCGACATATCAGACTTCAGATTGGCCAAGTATCCCTACCCCTGCTGCTAGGCTGTAATTGGCTTAAAGTATTATGACGGTCCACTGGGGGAGGGAGGAGGAGTGAAACACGACGCTGACTTAGCTGCGTAGTTTCATCCTCAAGGCCAATTGCAAATGTGCATCCATTGTTCCAGAAATGGGTTTTCCGCTGACCACCACTCCCAGCAGAGAGAAACCTTTCTCATTTAACCCAGCGGCACTAAGCCAAAGAAGAGTACGACGCTCCTGTTACGAGGTAAGGTGAAGTATACCATCATCCAAGAGTTGGAGAAAGGAACAGGGCAGTTGATTTGATGCCGCCTGTTACGGTGAATGAATCTACTTATTCAACAATAAAGAAGGATGCCAAAGATATAAAGGAGCACACAAGATCACAAAGTCTGTGGTGATTCTATGATCAAGCATTTTCGCCAACCAGCCTCAAAACAGAAAAATTAATGCAGAGGTAATTTGCGCGCCAGGCGCGACGTGAATGATGGGCGGTCGGTACTTGTTGTTAATTTTATCGTGAACTTTCGTGTTAGCGGCAGTGGGTAATAAAGATGGAATTTCAGAGCCCAAACCTTGATCGCTTCTCTGCGGTTACAGAGGTTTAAGATCTCGAATAAGATCGTGTCACCAATATAAACATTGGTGGTGAAGAAGGCTTAGTGCTGACCAAAAGGGTAGCTAGGAATTTCTCCGCGACGTGAGATTATGGAGGAAGAAGGCGCGCAGCGATTTAATGTGGTGTTTAATATGGACGAATCATCTGTGCCACCTCCCAAGTCCTTTTGTTGTAAAGAATGCCAGCAAAGATCGGGTCGTAAGATGCAGAAGGAACGCATCACCGTCTGTTTACCAACAATGCCTCCGTACCTGTAAGCTCTGGTTATCGGTGATCCACACAGCACGCAGGCCGGGTGACGCTTACAAAACCATGGATGCACCAAGCTAAATGTCCACTGGCTGACCGTGACGTAAAGGCGGATGTTCTCTACATCATCCTCTCCGGTTTGATGACTGCTTTGTTCTCGGCGTAAAGAAATTCTGTGGTTTACAGAATGCCATATTCAATATTCAAGGTTAAGGGACAACGCACTGGTGACACTACCATTGTTAGATCGTCACTCCAACGAAAAAGTGGTCTTCTCTCCCAACGTCTATATATTACAGCCTGGACCAAGAGTTAACTTGTACGTAAAAAAGCTGCATTCTCAACAAAAAAATCAAACTCCTGAACGACTCACACTAAACAGACCAGGAAGAGTTGCGTAACCCGGAGTGACACCACCACTGATAGCAAGAGTTTAAGAAGATGAGGATCAACAGTTGAAACAGCAAAAAATGTCTAAACAATTCTGAGAGTATTTAACATCAAGAAAGCTAAAGACTTCTGGCGGAGTCATAATCAGCTGTCTATTGGCGCACCGTCACGCATGGAGACATAAAGGTATGGAATACCAGGTGAGAGGAGGAGTCAATCTGTGACTGGTGAGGTTCAGATCGTTGCAGTAGCAGTGGACTCAAGCAGAGGGTTACATCAGCTATACAGTTCCGCTTCTCCGAGACCACCAAATCACAACACCGGAGGTGATCAGAGATCCTGAAGTGACTGCCGACGGGACAGTAAGATCACGCCAGTGAAGAGGAGGAAGAAGGTGCGCTATTCTCCCAAGAACACAGTTTAAGTCATAGTGATATTTATGGTGCTATGGAGTGCAGAGAAAAATGAAGTCCTTCCTTTCCCCGCGACAATGATTTATGACCGCTTATGAAGTCTTCCATACCCGGGTTGGAAGCAGGCTATGGAGTCAGCATATCACGGTGTATCACGCATAAACATAAACACCAGCCGTCAAAAGTAAATTGAGTCTTCGCCTAACCCACCACAGCCAGCCCAAGCCAGTGATAAGGAAGGTGAAGATAACTTTGAGGGATTCTGTCAGGAAGTTCTGGAGCAACTGTAAGTGTTGGTGATGGTGCTTCACCTAGTAATGGTGATTCACCTGGAGGGCCAGTAATCTGCCCTCTGCCTCGAACGCTCTCCATCCCTCAGATGTTCCACTCCATCTCTTTCTTACTTCACCGTAGCGGTTCCACCTAAGTTTTAGTTTTTCTAACCTAACCTTTTATTTTTCCTAGTAAGAATCTTTTATTTTTCCTAACCTAACTTCTTCATATTACTGTTTTTTCAGCACCATCATAAAGTTAAGATAAATTTTACTACAACATAGTTGTGTGTCACAAAAAGTGAGTTTTGGGGGTCGGCCAATTCATTCTCAATTAATCCCATATGTTATGTTATTCACTTTTACGCTATTTCATTTACGGACCTCCGGCTACATTAACCGGAAAGCAAAGTGAGGGTTAACTGTACATAAAATAAACAAAGAAATCACCAATCTTTTATCTTGAACACGAGGTGGTAGGAAGACGGGGGTAAGGAGGGGGGAGGTGAGGTGACAGAATGTCCGGCGTTTGTTTGTTTATTTATTTATTTGAGATAAGATTTGACAGTTGGCTGCGAGAAGGCCTGCGTGTTTATTTATCATTACTTAGAGTGACTAAGCTCTTCTCATAATTTTTCACCCAAACGACCTGGGTGAATATAACTTACATTGGAGGATTCTTGTAAGATAGTAATTATTTGAATGTTTTTTTTCATTTAATTTTATTGTTTATTCCTTGATAGAGAAGCGGATACTAGTGCTGTCACTTGGTACCTGTACCATAACACCAGAAGCAACTGGCCAGTGTACAAGTATATACAGTCATCCCTTGGTTATCGCGCTATTGGGATCCCGCCGATAACAGTACAGAACCTACAGGATTTATTCCTAATTGGTTCAGACACCCATTTACGACCATTTAGACCCACTAAATATATATATAATGTTATGGTAAATATCATTAAACACACATAGGCATGGCTACGTTTTTACAAAGTGATGAAAGATGCAGCAATACTGTAGTCCACAAAACATGTAGCTATGCTTTTTATTTGGTCCCCGTCATAAGTCCGTTTCTCTCTCACATCAGGACGCCTGAGTCCTCCATTTCTCTCTTAATCTTAGAGTGCACCAGAAACTTTACTATTTTTAGTAATGCCACAGAATTTGAATTGCAACCCCAATTGCAACTTACATTGTTGAGGCAACTAGATATGTCTGATTACATCAAATGTGTTATTGTCAATTTGTAGGTGAAAGATTTTTACCTCAATAGATGTAGGTTAACATATCACCTGTAGGCAAATGCTTAGAAAAGCCTAAGTAAGGGCATATTCCTTTAACACATAATATCTGATCAGTATGGGAGGATCATCATGTCTCTGTCAGGGGCTCGTGGAGTGGTGGTCCAGCAGGCGTCCACGTGTTTTTGGGGGAAATACGGACGTATATCGCGATCGGACGTTGTTGATTGAGATAACAGCATGACTGTTGTAGATATATATATATATATACACACACACTGTATTAGTGTACATGACATTCAAGCCAGAATTTATTCTCGTAATGTCTCCTGCTCTTAGTAGTAACCCCCTCCCCCCATTCTGAGAAGCTGCAGCATTTGCAAAGTACACTGTATTTTGCAGGGTGTGGTTAGAAATGTCATGATTTGCAAGGTGCTTGCCTCCTCCCGTCTGATAGGCGGAGCTGCTGCCACTCACCCTGTCATATAATTGGTATTGTTTGCCTGTTTTTACTACCTTGTGCAGATCATGTGTCTTTTGTGTAACAAATTCAAATAATTTAGTACCTGGGTCCATAAGAAATTATAACTAAAATTTGGGTCACATTTCTGAGTATGTGCCCATCATGTGGTGTACAATAATTGCTCCTACACAATTTATTTCCCTTTTTCAATTATACCAGGAACCTTTCTTACTGATGTGAGTCTCTAAATCCTGAAAAAATGGTGTGTGCAAATAACCAAGGCAAGGAATATTAAGTTAAAAAGATATTACACTGAATTGTAGACTGTAATAATAGATGCACAATATCTGGATAAGAATATCAAATTTGAAGCCTAATAAATGGAATGGCCACGCTATTACTAGAATGTTAAAATATTAACACCAGAAAGAATTCAATAAATACCTTGATGGGTTGAGGATCAAAATATTCAAAGAGAGTTTCACAGAACTGTCGACCCATGGAGAGGAAGTCGTGTATGTTGTAGTGGGTGCCGGCCCGGGGTCCCTCTGAGGCCCCCCCAAAGGATGCCTCCATAGTATAGGAGTGAAGTACACCCATCATCCACACTACCACTCTCGCTGTCCCCTCCTTACATCGATGAACTTTGAATTTGCAGCTCCGGAAGCTAAACTACAACAGTCAGACATCTTTGTTAGGTTAAATACTCAAGTTTGTAACTAATCTTGACTCATATTAAACCAATCCATTATTATGTCTTAGTTATGTTTTAGTCAAGTCAGGATTAAATTATATTATAGTACAGTAATACCCAGATTTACGCGGTCAATTGAACCCGCGGTGGCCCGTGTAAAACGGGAAACGCGTAAATGGAACATATGGGAGTAATTGAAATAGAGACTGGGCCGACCCCCCAAACTCCACTTTTTCAGACACAATACGTACGTTGTAGTAAAAATAACATCTTAATTTTATTATGTGTGTGTGCATTAGGGGTCAGTGAAATTTTGCTCAAAGCTGCACTCTTCAGGCATTGTTCCTTATACATATCTAATACTCCATGCCAAATTTGAAGCTGATATGTAGAGGTTTAGTCTGCCGCATTTTCTACTGAAATTTTTAAATTTACCTACAGTACTAGCCAAACAGCCGCTGTGGCGGTGCAATGTTCTGTTCAGTGTTTATCAACTTTTTTTTCATATCTCTTATTTCATTTAAGTTGTCTTGTTGCAGATGAGTATGGTGCTATGTCTATATTGATTATCAGCCTTTTCTCATTTCATTTCTCAATGTTGTGTTACTGTACTGTAATGTAGATATCTGGTAGCTGGAGATATTCCTTATGTTGAGGATAATTCAGATGATTCAAGAGATATTCCTCTCGTCAATACTGATGCTGATTTTGTCCCTGATCCAAGGGCTCTGACAGACACCAGTTCACAGAACCGAACAAGACTCCCTACACTGGCTGCCGCTTGTGACCGATACTTGATTAGTGATTATGCTGGAACACCATTACCACCATACCTTAACTGACCTTGTTATCATAAAAGGATGACCTTGAAATGGGTTAGTGGTTCCCACATAAACTCTTGGGATCGAGTTAAAAATACTGATTAGAGCCAAGGAAATTAGAGATGGCTGGATTTTAGGCCATTTGATGTCACTCTATTTTGATGGTAAGAAAGAACCGCCACTGATGTGATGATAAAGAATGAGGGCAAGAAATGGGATGAGATGATGGTGAAAAGATCATTTATGTCATCATGGTTTAGACACAACAGTGCTCACCACACATGTGACTCCCAAGACTGGACACAGAGAAGCGGTGCAAAAAACTATTTAAGTTTCTGGGTGGAAAAATCTAACCCAGCAACCCATTGGTATTGTGTTATTTGAGTTGTGATGGAACCAATGTAAATGTAGGATCAGAAAAATGGAAATTCATTCATCATCTTGAGAAATGTTACTTGAGTCACCATCCATTATTTCGCCGTAATAAACTTCACTGAAATGAGCTGCTTTTCATGATTTTATCATATGATGGTAAACCAGAGTGGTCTGAGCATTGGCGTGTATTCATTGGAAATAGATCCAAGGAGTCTTTGTCTGAGCTTCAGTTATGCGTAACTTTAGCCAGTCAGTTTCTCGGATTTCCTGTGTTTGTGATGAAGTGGAGAAAAGATCTATGGATCAGAAATACTTTATATATAGGATTTGTAAAGAATTCATATACAGGTGTTGGTGAAGATGACTTGGCTGCTAATGAGCAGGTCCTCCTGTGTGTCAGGTGGAACACCTTATGGAGTAGGCTCCTCAGGCTGTATGTAGCATCAAGACCCAGCCATGAGTTGAAAAATTTGTGCATTTACAATAAGCCAAGTTCCGTTGCTCAATGTGGTTTTTACAAAATCAAGAAGATACCCTTACGTGGCACCTACAGCTCAAGAATATTCCAGTCCTAAATGTAAACACCTGAATAGTAGGGAGGACGATAAAGTAGAAGAAGAGCTGTCCAGAGAAAATGCATATAGCCCACACAGATGAACTTCTTCTTTTGTTATGTGTGCAGATGAGGACATGACTGTTAGAAAAAGCTGTCTCAATATTGAAAAAATTAGAGAGGAGAATCAGCAAAAGGAAAGAATGCACTGGCAGATCTGAAGAGAGGAGGAGGAAGATTCTGATGCTGCTGTTGAGGAATTTGGTAGCTATGCTGATGAGGAGGGTAAAGATGGAGATGGGAATGAGGATGCCTCCTGTTAACATAAGAAAGGTGTGACTCGAAACTAAAGTGGCAAGCAAAAAGCTATCATTTCCATGATTAACTGGAGGAATAGACTCAGACTGGGCATCCATTTATTCTCTGTCAATCTACAGGTTAATGACATTCTTGAGACACCGTGAAGTAGCGATGCTTAGTAGCCAAACAACACTCAGAGGCGGTCGAAGAGGCATAAAGGCGATGACTGAAGCTTGCACTGGTGGCGGAGATAAAATCCGAGGGTAGATATATTAGGCAAAAGATTTATTGTCTGAAAATGATGCAGGTTCCGCACAAAAAAGAATTTCAATATGAACGTAATGATTTTCTATCTGATTATTACTTATAACAAAATAACATGGTCGTCGATGTCACCATATAAAAATTTATCGCTATCACAGAGAAAACATTAATGACTTTAATTTTTGGTATACACTAAAAAGTTGACAAAAAAGTAAGCGTCGCGGCAGGGTAAGTATGCATGAAATGGCATGAAATTTTGCACAGGTGGTACATTTGCCATACAAACGATGCCTGAAAAGTGCAGCCTGCAACTCAAATAAAAGAGTTTTTCCCTGCCCTAATGGACACACAATTAATAATTGAAAATATCAATAATATAAGTTTTTAACACACATTAGTAGAAAGATGGCTGGGCACACGGGGATGGGGGTTGGTTCCGAGGCAGAGGCAGATTGTGGCCTCACCTGTATCACTATCACCACAGAAGCGCAGGGCCTCTTTGTCAAAACCTCAAAGTCCATATAAGTCCATATCCTACTACCACTGACTTGGGCCGGCTGTGGTGGGTGGCGGGTGAAAGAACTTCATAATGTTTGATGACTGGCCTTATCGCACCCTGCCGCCCGCTTCCAGCGTATATGAGTAGATGCATCGCCCAAAGTAGAATTCCGGTTCTATGGCGGTGCTCGTAAATGTGAAACATAAGCAGGAACGCACTCATCGAGGATATTACTGTACATGTATTGTATGTGAGACACACATTTGTTAATTAGAAGTGAAAGTGAAGTATTATAGGTATATAACAATATGATAAACATCAGACTTAAAATGCTGCATATTTAAATATTTACACAAGTTTAAAGTCGATGTTCAGTTTAGAAGGTCAGTAATTCCTTACAAGAAAGATTTAATATTATCAGTTGTTCTGACATTAAAAAGAGTAAAACTTGGGTTTAAGTTATATAAGTAAGTGTGTAGCAGCAACTGTTAGACTGTGAAAATGAAGCAAAACTTTTATTATTTTAGTTGGTTAAGCCAAACGATTTTATTCAGTTCAGAGGGGGCCCCATGCACAAGGGGTAAGTACTGTATGGTTCACTGGCAAAGTTTATTATATTTTAGCATGAATATTTGCTTTAAAAATTGGTTTCAGACTAAGATTAGTTGGCATGTAACATTGTTTAATAGTCGCGATATATGCAAGAACATTATGTCCTGGTCAGTACAATGGTTTGTGAAAAACACCTCGGAGGAGCCAGAAGATAAAGTCAAAATAGAATTACAGTACTATGTTAACGAATTCAAAACAGAAGCTCTTGGATTTGGAAAAAACATAGTATCACGAGGAGCCAAGAGTATGAATGTACAAGCAGAAAATTTAAGGAAATACCTGTACAGTACTGTATAATGTATTATCTAATCTGAAGAGTGTCAGTCAATTTTTGAGTCTGAATTTCGAACTTATCCCGGTAAATTATAATAAACTGATATATCTTGTTTACAGCTGGGCTAGCCATTATAGCAAAGTGCATTGTAGCAAAAATTACCACAAACTTTAAAGAGCGAGGGTTGCTAGTGGTGTGTCAGGGGGATGCTAGTGGTGGTAAGTGTGAAGGAATAAATGGTAGTGGAAGTAGTGTGAAAGAAAGAGTCGCAGTGATGGTAGAGTGTGAAGGAAGGGGTGCTAGTGGAGGTAGAGTGTGAAGGAGAGGTGCTAGTGGCGGTAGAGTGTGAAGGAAGGAGTGCTAGTGGTGGTAGTGTGAAGGAAGGGTGCTAGTGGAGTAGAGTGTGAAGGAAGGAGTGCTAGTGGCGGTAGAGTGTGAAGGAAGGAGGTGCTAGTGGAGGTGGTGTGAAGAAAGAGTGCAGTGATGGTAGAGTGTGAGAAGGAAGGAGTGCTAGTGGGTAGAGTGTGAAGAAAGGAGTGCTAGTGGTGGTAGTGAAGGAAGAGTGCTAGTGGCGGTGGGAGTGTGAAGGAAGGGTGCTAGTGGCGGTAGAGTGTGAAGGAAGGAGTGCTAGTGGTGGTAGTGTAAAGGAAGAGTGCTAGTGGCGGTAGGTGTGAAGGAAGGAGTGCTAGTGGCAGTGTGAAGGAAGGAGTGCTAGTGGTGGAAGTGTGAAGGAAGGAGTGCTAGTGGAGGTAGGAGTGTGAAGGAAGGAGTGCTAGTGGCGGTAGAGTGTGAAAGGAAGGAGTGCTAGTGGCAGTGAGTGTGAAGGAAGAGTGCTAGTGGCGGTGAGTGTGAAAGGAAGGAGTGCTAGTGGTGGTAGTGTGAAGGAAGGGGTGCTAGTGGAGGTAGAGTGTGAAGGAAGGAGTGCTAGTGGTGGTAGTGTGGTGAAGGAAGGAGTGCTAGTGGCGGTTAGAGTGTGAAGGAGGAGTGCTAGTGGCGGTGGGGTGTGAAGGAAGGAGTGCTGTGGTGGTAGTGTGAAGGAAGGGGTGCTAGTAGGTAGAGTGTGAGGAAGGAGTGCTAGTGGCGGTAGAGTGTGAAGGAAGGAGTGCTAGTGGAGGTAGTGTGAAGAAAGGAGTGCGAGTGATGGTAGAGTGTGAAGGAAGGAGTGCTAGTGGAGGTAGAGTGTGAAGAAAGGAGTGCTAGTGGTGGTAGTGTGAAGGAAGGAGTGCTAGTGGCGGTAGAGTGTGAAGGAAGGAGTGCTGGCTGAGATGTGAAGGAAGGAG